AAGAGAAGTATAGATCTAAACCCCGTGTAACAGAGAGATAGCTACTTAAATAAAGTTCTTAATGAATCTCTAATAGAAGTTTATAAATCTAAGAAAGGATTAGATATTTTTTACTATTCTTAGTACTTTCTATTCACTAATTACTTAGATCTTTTCTAGATCTGTCTAGATTCCCTTTTCTATATTAAGAATAAATCTAAGATACTTAGTTATCTTTACTTTAAACTCGCACTTCTTAATATTAACTTATAGTTCTATAGTCTATGGTTTACTAAGTACTTTCTAGATATAGTTATAATAGTTATTAAGGCTTCTATTAGTAAAGATTAAAATATTATCTAAGTAGGCTAAATAAAACTGACTGGACTAGAACCTCCCTTTCCAGCAGATACAACACCGCACGGATACCGTTGACTGCCAGCCTGTAGACGACAGCGGCGTTGTTGTCCTGGTGACTGGCGCGCTCTTGGTGAGTCTGGGGAGCTTGAATGGAAAAGGACAACAGCTGATGCTAGAGTAGGTCGAAGGCAACGACAAGCCCATGTCCTTCACCCAAGTCTTCCAGCTGAGGAAGGACGGCGAGCAGTGGTTCGTTTTCAACGACGTCTTCCGTCTCGTCTATCCCGCAGCCTAAGCTGTCGTCGACTTGACCCAGCATCTTATAAGTTTCCTTTAGACATCGGAGCATCTTGCGGTTGGAGGTGGAGTCAAGGAGGCAGAATAAGGATGTGAGCTGGTGGCTCGGGTTCTGTTCTAGCAAGCTTGGTGCGCTGCTGCAATGCAATGAGTGGCCATCTGGCTTCGATACTGCCCATCTAGATTAAATCAACAAATTTAGTGGTCAAATCTCAGTCATCACTCTTACAAGTCCACAGTTCTACAGCCAATCCTTGGTCACGTTTCCGGCGCTTTTCCGCATCTTTTCCGCGACCATGTCTGGGGAAGAAGCATTAGCCGCCTTTGCGCCCCGCGCTCACTTGCCGAGCTCCAGCATTGGGAGCTTTAGCTCGTAACAACTATGGAAACGTGCGGCGACTATGGAGAACTTCTCCAGTCACTCGGAATTGTCCTCTTCTTTTTCATTTCCGTCTTGTCCTTCTAACACTTGATTGTCCGTCTTTTAGCGCTGCATCTATTCCATACCCAACACAATGGCAGGTTTCGCACAAAAAGGGCTGAGGAACATTCTCCAAAAGAATCCCAATGATGTTGTTTTCCTTTCAGCTCTTCGCACACCCATCACACGAGCGAAGAAGGGCGGGTTGAGAGATGCTTATGATCATGAGTTGCTTGGTGCTGTGCGTTACAATGCCTCCTTCAACGATACACAGCTCCTGACATCCATCTAGGTCCTCAAAGCCACAATATCTAAATTTCCCCATCTCGATCCCGCCAAGATAGACGATGTATGCATTGGCACTGTCCTTGCTGAGCTCGGTGGCTCAAAAGCTGGTCGCATGGCCGCCAACCACGTCGGCATACCCACGACCACATCCTTCAGCACCACAAACCGAGCATGCGCCTCGGGACTCAGCGCGATAACCAACGTTGCCAATGCCATTGCTGTCGGACAAATTGATGTCGGCATTGGAGGCGGCATGGAGAGCATGACACGCAACTACGGCAGCCGCGCGATCCCTACGGAGCTGTGGCCTGAACTCAAAGACTCGCCTGTCAAAGAAGCACGCGACTGCATCATGAGCATGGGTATAACTTCGGAGAATGTGGCGTCTCGCTACAACATCTCGCGCACGGACCAGGACGCCCTCGCGGCGCGATCGCACCATCTCGCCGCCAAAGCGCGCGAATCAGGCCTTTTTGCCACGAAATCGTGCCCGTAACTACCCCCTGGATCGAGCCCGAGAACCCGGAAGCCGTCAAGACAATCACAGTCACCGAAGACGACGGCATACGGCCCACGACAACAATCGAGAAGCTCGCAACTATGAAGCCGGCTTTTAGTAAGGACGGAGCGTCGACTGCAGGAAACAGTTCGCAGGTCTCGGACGGTGCAAGCGCTGCGCTCATGATGCGTCGTAGCACAGCTACTGCTCTCGGTCTCGACAAGGAGATTATTGGAAAATGGGCGGGCACACAAGTCGTGGGCTGTCAGCCGGATGAAATGGGCATTGGGCCCGCCCTTGCGATTCCCAAACTTCTGAAGTACACGGGGGTACAGGCGAGCGAGGTGAATGTGTGGGAAATCAACGAGGCGTTTGCGAGTCAGGCGCTGTACTGCGTTAGGACACTGGGTCTGGAAGATGTGATGGATAATGTGAATCCTAATGGTGGGGCGATTGCTCTGGGACACCCGTTGGGAGCGACGAGTGGACGCATGTTGGCGACGTTGTTGAGTGAATTGGGTAGGAGGGGAGAGCAGGTTGGTGTGCTGAGTAAATGTATTGGAACGGGCATGGGCATGGTGAGTTTGCTTGTTAGGGAATAAGGAATGATGATAGAAGAACAAATGGGTATCATATTTTTCATCAACATGTCAAAAATCAACAACGGCATGCATGCATGTCGAAATGCCAAAAAAAACGTCATGCCTCCTGCACGCCTTTTCCTTTTGCTTTGTTCTTCTTCTTTTGCGAGCGAGAAGCAAGCAGTTCGTCGAGATAGCTTGTTGGTTTGGCGCGGCTTCTGCTGGGTAGAGGCTTTGCCTTGGGCGCTGTGACTGCTGGCTCAACGTCGTCGTAGAACTTCCGCTCAGGCACTATTTCCTTTGCTGATTTCTGCTCTTCTTCTTCGTCTGGCGGTACACTTGTAGCTTCTCGCTCAGACCCGCCATCCTCTTCCGACACAAGGCCAGCCTTTGGCCTGGCAATTTTCCTCCGTTTCGACTCGAAAGCTGCGGCACGACCCTCCTCTTCGTCTTCGCTCTCTTCCTGCTTGGCGACTTCTTTCCGACTGGGTTTTGGCTGCGATGCAGCGCCTCGGCGTTCAGCTTCTTGTTTTGCAGCTAGGTGGGCTTTTGCTTTCTTCTTGCCGCTTAATTGCTGGAGGAGTTTGTCGTCTGATGTCATGGTGCGTCTGGTGAAGGTGCCATCTGCAATGTCTTTGGGGGGGATGCTGCCGACGCCAAGCCTACCTGGGCTCAGTGAAGGATCAACCATTTTGGACATTCTTGACATACCGATCATGGCCAGAGAAGTTCCGGTCCAAATCATTATCCTTCTCTTCCTCGTTGGGTGCATCATGTGACGGTTGCGCATCTGGTTGTGGACCTAGCATAGATGCCAAGAGCTTTTGCCCCTTCGCAGACACCAGACTGAGCTTATTTGCGAGCACATCGCCATCCATGTTTCTCTTTGACATGGTGCGCGGCTCTGGAGTTCCCCCTGATCACGTTGGGCGGTGACATTGCATTTCCCGGCCGCGATATTTTTGAGGACCCGGTAAATTCTCGGCGCGCTAGAGCGCTCCGCAACCACCTCGTGAAGCAAGCAGCAGCAGCAGCAGAAGCTCCCCCAGCCCAACGTCACCCGTCTGCCCCCCCTCCCCCCCGTATACCCGTCGTGTGTCTGCCAGATCAGACATCATGTACAACCTCGCCTGCGCCCGGCCGCTGGCCAAGGCCCTCCGCGCCGCCGTATGTCCCACCACCACAACCACGGCCAAGCTCAAAAAGCCATGTGACGCAGTACCGCGGGAATGCTGACACGCTGCAGCAGGCTCCCGTGAAGCGCTCTGCGGTCCAGCAGCGAAGATGTCTGTCGATACACGAATACCGGTCCGCTGCGCTGCTCGAATCGGTACGCACGCTGCGGCATAGAGGATGGATGGCGGAGCACAAATAGCTGATTAGGGTCCAGTATGGCATTGGCGTGCCCAAAGGCGGTGTCGCGACCAACGCGGCAGAGGCAGAGAAGGTCGCTAAGAGCATTGGTATGCCATGTCCTAAGGCAGTGCGGCGTCTCGCGACTAACTCGACCAGGCGGTGACGATGCCGTTATCAAGGCCCAGGTCCTTGCTGGAGGTCGTGGAAAGGGCACCTTTGACAACGGCTTCAAGGGCGGCGTCAGAGTCGTCTACTCGTATGCAGCCACCTCCATCGCCAGCAGCGCGCTCTCCATCTGACACTTCCATGCAGTCCCCGCGAAGCCTCCATTCTCGCAGACCAGATGATTGGTCACAAGCTGATCACCAAGCAAACCGGAGCCGCTGGCCGTCTCTGCAACGCCGTCTTCATTGTCGAGCGCAAGTTCGCCCGCCGAGAGTTCTACCTCGCTATTCTTATGGACCGCGCATCCTAAGGCCCCGTCATTGTCGCCTCGTCGCAAGGTGGCATGGATATTGAGACTGTCGCAAAGGAGCACCCCGAGGCTATCATCACCACCCCTATTGACATCCACACCGGCGTCACTGACGAGATTGCGCGCAACATTGCCACTGAGCTTAGCTTCTCAGAGTAGTGCATTGAGGATGCCAAGGACACCATCTAGAAGCTATACAAGGTCTTTATAGACAAGGATGCTATGCAGATCGAGATCAACCCTCTCTCCGAGACGACCGACCACCAGGTCCTCGCTATAGACGCTAAGCTCGGCTTCGATGACAACGCCGACTTCCGTTAGAAGGAAGTTTTCGACTGGAGAGATCTTACTTAAGAGAACCCTAATGAGGTCAAGGCCGCTAAGGTTGGTCTCAACTTCATCAAGCTCGACGGCGATATTAGCTGCCTCGTCAACGGTGCCGGTCTTGCCATGGCCACTATGGATATCATCAAGCTGAACGGCGGAACGCCCGCCAACTTCCTCGACGTTAGTGGCGGTGCCACTCCTGAAGCTATTCGCCAGGCTTTTGACCTCATCACAAGCGACCCCAAGGTCACTGCCATTTTCGTCAATATTTTTGGTGGTATCGTTAGGTGTGACGCTATTGCCAAGGGTTTGATCCAGGTCGTCGAGCAGATGAACCTCAAGACCCCCGTCATTGCGAGATTGCAGGGTACCAACATGGAGGCGGCACACAAGCTTGTAAGTGTACAAGGTCTATAAGTTAAGGAAGCGTGGTTGACTAACGACAATACAGCTCAACGACTCAGGCCTCAAGATCTTCTCCATTGATGACTTGCAAGCTGCAGCTGAGAAGTCTGTCCAGTTCTCAAAGGTCGTTAAGATGGCGCGTGACATTGACGTTGGCGTCGAGTTCACTCTTGGTATCTAAAGCCCTTGGTATAGAACACCGAGCGCACTGACTGGGTGTGCGACACGCATAGACAGGCCGTGTGGTTGTATATTCTAGGAATGTGCGGATGGAGGATGAGGATGAAGATGTATTTACTGCAAAGCAATTAACGAATTTGTGCCTATGTATCGGACTGAGATGTTACAAGAGAATCACAGACGACGAGCCACTCGTATGGTCAACATGGTCAGTGAGCTCTTCCACATCCTGGATTGAAACAGCATCTGCAGGACACGGTTCTCTTCCCTACCGCAAACTGCGATATCAATCACCATCTTATAACCCAAAAGCTAGTCCAAGAATGTGTTGCATTTTCAGCTGATATAAGATCTGATTATATCGACAGCCATACATTAATGCACCACAAATAGTCTGGCCTGCTCTTTTAATGATACATGCACTGAGACGTCGTATGATATAACTCATATTCTTGTCCTCATCCAATCCATAAGCTTATCAAAGTCTCTACAAACATGCCACTGATCGGTGTCTGCGTGGAAGACTCTAGCTTCCGGTCTCCATGCCCGTGGTGTCCACGTTAAATCGAAGCTGCAAGTAAGGTGTTGTCGAATATTTTCCAAGCAATGGTCTACACGCCCAAGTATAACATTAGCAAAGGACCTTGTATGTATATATATATATAGCGCCAGCGAATGAAATAAATGAAATTGAAATGACTGACCAAGATGCATTCGATGGCTCATGTGATACGGCCTTTCGGGCGCATCAGTGATGTCCGTGTAATAGTCACGAGCAAGCGATTTTCTAATGTAATTCTGCGTATTTTCTGTTATTTACTATTCGGCCAGTATAATAGTATCTATGAGTGTAGCTTACCAGACAGTGAAGAGAGTGAACTGCACTAGGCCTGACATTTATCGTCAGCATCTTATCATGAGCCTGCACTCAGAGGGTAGGTAGGTTAGACGTACTGTACTGCATAAGTTCCATCCTCGAGGAGGTCCCCAGGTAACATGGTCAAACCCGATTTCTCAACCTCTTTGGGCGTCAACTTCATGAAGGCAAACGAGCTATCTTGCACGTGTTATTGCGTGATCTTTCAGTTTCTTGTCACGAGATGAATGATCAAGCTCACTGAGTAACATCTGGTCCATCCACAAAGCATCCACCTCTGGACTTGGTGGGGCAAAGAAATCTGGGCCATGAGGGTCTTTGGTAAGTGAATATGAGCCTTTTGCATCGATATTCACTCCTGCATGGAACTTTTTTCGCGTCAGCGATATCTTCGGCCGAACGGCATCTATGTTTCTCATATGTCAGCGAAAAATGTTCTTGATATGAGGGAGTGCTAGCGCCAATTACCAATGTCAGTCACGAAGCCAGACTCGTAGCTGCCGAGTGGGTTCCTGTGTCCCAATGACACGATAGCAAGAGCGACGAGGAGAAATGCGCTGATACTCCACGGCAGGATTATAGATTTACATATCCTGGCAAGCAGCGACTGTGAAGGCTTTTCTTGGGGAGGAGATGTATCGCGACTACTGTATTCTTCTTCCCCTTGGAGAGCATCATATGTTCCTCTTTCTGCTGTCCGGGATTTGCTCCACAGATTCATGGTGCGTAAGTAGTAGAAAAGAAACAAGGTTTTTTTTTCAGGGCACAAAGAGGGAAAGAGTATGAAAGAAGAAGAGAAACCCTCAGTCTTCTTCTTCTGAACTCAAAGATTATGCAAGTTATCATCGCAGTGGCGTTAGGAGACATGATATCAGGGGCTAAAGCCGGGACATATAAGCACTAGTACGGTTTCTAAATCTACAACATGCGAATGAATTTGGTGGGGCCTGAAAAAAAGCAATATTGTAACATGTTGCTGTCATGACTGAAAAACTCCTTAGCAAAGAGTATTGTTTCATGGATAATTGAATATGTGTAGCAGACGTAGCTTATAACCAGATTTTTATTGCACATGCTGGAATGATGAACTTCATCCATATCACGACCGAGTTCAATTAAGATACCTCTAATGACTGATACACCTCCCGCTCTCTAGCAACAAAGCCATACTATGTCTGTAGCCCAGTCTTCGCAGAAATCGGATTACTGATACGATTTAGACAGTAATTAACCTATTCGACCTTGGCTTCGAATCGCCTTCTTCCACCGCATGTATCGTGTCTCTTCTTCATTGGAAAACGAGAGATTGCAATCCGTCATATAAGTTCTGAAAGCCTCCGGTCGGAGCATGGCGAATGTGCTCAGGCAGACATCGTGTCTGAAATACGCTCGTTCTGTCGACCTTCTTTCAAGCGTGCGACAATGTCCAGCCTAATGGGCCGACGATGCATCCTGCGTGGTGGTCGGCGCGAAGACACTGAGCGCAGTGCCAATAGTGAACATGGTGATGAAGGTGACAATAACAACGAATATGATCAAGTATTGTGCTCTTTGGATATTGTGCTGCGTGTGGTTCAGTTTTGGTTCTTGGGTCGCTTGGTAGGCTCCATCATCGAGGTCGAAAGACGAAGAAGGGCTATCTTGATCGGTCGCAGAGTCGTGCCCGAGTAGAGCGATTGTTTGCTCCATGTGCGAGGCAAAGTCGAAAAGACATTCCGGGTGATTGGTGACCTAGCGATGCGATGCGATCAAAATCGAAGGAATGCGGTATGCGCTATTCTGACTTCGATCAAGGGGGAAGGTATGTCACTAGAATGCGACACCACAGATGCGGGAATTTTGTGCGATTGATTGAATGACTATTTTACGTCATTGCATTGTCCTCTAGATGGTAATATCTTAGTTTCGTGTTGGGAATGTGACCGCTGGATCATCAGTTATCCTGCTGACCTTGGTGTTTGGCAGAATCTTTGAGGGGGCACATGTTCCTCCAAAGGTCCCATTGCACCAAATGATTACCTCGGCAAGGAAAATCGACGATCAGGGCTAGGTCGCATCATTGGCTTTTATTCACTTTCTCACTCCACCGAACAACCCTTCTGTCTGCGCTCTACAAATTGGCAACACTCGACTGAGTATTTTTTTACTTTTTATTCTCAAAAGAACTTGAGAGGAAGCAGCCATTTTCGAGCCCTTTTGAACGGAACAACTGTTTTCGGTAAATTCCTTTCGGGGGATCGCTCGGTCGAATGCTGGTTAGCAGTGAGTAATTTATGCCTGATGGTTTCGTGAAAGTTTCGGGGAGTGGCTGTAGATCGTTTCCTACAATACCTTGATAGCGATTCTTCTTTTTCTTGCTAGCGAAGCATTATTCTTGGTAAATGAATCTTGATTTTGAAATTTGAATCATGTCAAAATCAGCCTTAAAATATCTAGGTCTACAGAGGTGCCTTTCAAAAGTCCTTGCTGGCAGGGATCATCTGTATTACTACCGAAGCTTGGTCCGATCCGTCCCGCCGCCCCTCCTTGTACTC